CAGCAAAATAGTAAATTGATTTTATTAGTGTGTTAATAATATGTATTATTGTTATGTTTTTATTGGTTCAAATTTTTGCTGATGTGTGAGCTTCTTATAACATAACGTTTTTTGCATTGTTGTTATGGAAGCATAGTTGATGATGAGTCTACACTTTCTTCAATTATATACGTATCTATCAAGCAAACACATAGGTAAAAATTTTAATTTTTTTTTGCTGTTATTTATTATTTGAATTTCGGTTTGGCAAAAATATAAAACAAAGATTTAATTTTATTATTTGGGTTTGGCAAAAAAAATAAAAGTTAAATATATTGATGACTTGTATTAATGAAATGTTTTTATTGGTGTTTTTTTTTGCTGAAGTGTCATCTCCTAAAATCTTGAAAATGTTGATGTGTGAAGTCATGGAGAGACTTATGGATTATTGTTGTGTTGATTATGTCTTTTCATTATAAATTATTATATTTTATAAATAGTTATATTTTTATTATAACTGTAATTTTTATCTTTTCAAATTTATTTATATTGTTTAAAACTAAAGAAAAAAAAATCAGTTAAATCTGATGTTGTGAACGTTAATAAAAAGACACATAGAATGAGGGTGGGTTTATATCTTTTTAGACCAGCTTTTAGTCATAGACAAATATATGTTGTATTATCTAAAGTCATTTATTTAAAAAGTTTAAAAATTTATCAAGGCTAAAAAAATAATGTTTAGAAAAAGTATTAAATAATATTCAGTATCTTAAGCATTCCAATTGGGAACCTGCTCAAAAACAGGTCCACGTAAAATCAGATGGCAATTATTTCTTTTTCAAGTTAAAAAGTTAGTGTGGTGAAACAATCATTATAATTGTCAAGTTATACAACAATTTAGTTTCAATTACCAATATTAAAGTTATTTACTTTTACTGACGTTAATTTTATATCTGAAGAGAGGTCTACATATAAAAAAAGATTTTAATAATTCTTTGATAAGTGAAAGAATTGAATTTGAAGAGGTAAACATGATTCTAATGAATGTTATACTTAGGGCTTGTGAAGTGATTGAATCTAGTGATTATTCCCATTCAAAAATCATGACACTATTATCAACATTACATATTCATTTACTAAGATGTCACTTACGAGGATACTTGATAGCAACAAACAATTAAAAAGCTTTTTGATTAATGAACTGTTGTACCAAAACCTTCTATTGAAAATGTAATTATCTAATCGGAAATAATAACATTTTTTATAGAAACAAAGAATGAAGGAAAACATACTAATAATATATGTGCATGATTTGCGAAGAACATTTTGTTGATAAATAAATTCTTTTGAAACCACCTTGCAATCATATATTTGATATAAATTGTTTTCTAAATATTTATGTTGTTATTAATTATCTTTTTAACTTATTAAATAAATTTATTTAAATATAAATTTATTGATTTAATTATTTTATGCATATTCTTAAAATATCAGTTATATAAAATAATTATTAAAAAATGAGTTTCCGCGCGAAAGCGTGGATTATTTACCTAGTATACATAAAGCAGAACCAAAAAAAAGCGAATTATGTCCTAAAATTTGGAATGGAATGTTATAAAGGGAGATGAAATTTCCACAGAAAATAAAATATTTATTATATATAAATTGTAGATGAATTCTGCAGAAAATAATAGTTTTTTGTTTGTTCTTTTTCCAAGTATTTTAAAAACAATTATGGAACAGATCCAGTCACTTGATATTCAACTGAACGAATATGAATTATAGACATGTCGATCCGAACGGAATGGATCACAAAGATTATTAAAAACCATATAATATTCGTCCAACTATAAGACACTGAAAGCAATTGGCAATGTTCTCTAAGATTATGAGTAAAATGAATACAAGACTATATTTCTTATAGTATATTATTGGGGAACAAGAACCACATTTAAGCATGTTATAATAATATAAAAATTTAGCGTAAGATCAAGCAACGATTATGTAACCCACCAGAAGCTGAAGCAGCTCTCCTAGCTTCCTCTACAAGAGCAGCACGTGCTGATGAGATTCCGGCAGGGACAAGACACGTGTCGAACGTTGAACAGTCGATCCAATCCTTAAGAAGCTCTTCTTGTCCCCATATCTCCGGTATCCAAACTCTTCCGGCGATATCTCTCCGGTGCTTCTTTAGCTTCTCTCTCCCAGTGTCCACTCTCTCTTCTTCACGATTTTGTTTCGGCTTCTCTTGGGGGAGAGCTTGATCTTTCTTGTCGGAAACAGAAGAAGCTTCGTCGTCGGGCAAACTTGGATCTTGTTGGGTTTGGTCGGAAGGAGGTTGAGATGGACCGATCGGGTGGGCCACTGGAGACGTCGTATCTTCGATGTTCATCATGATTGCACAAAAGTAAAGCAGATTCAGATTCTTGGATGAAACAAAAAAAAATATGAAGAGAGATCTGTGTGTGTGTTTGCTTTTGTTTGAGATTCGGTGTTGATAATATGTATTTTTTGGTTGGGTTATGTAAAGAAGGAGAAAATCGGGTGGGAGTTTGGGTTACACGTCGACTTAAGTTTATTGTTTGGTGCATTTCTCTTTTTTTCTCGCTTTTGTTTTTTGTATGGTAAATGACAACTTTACGTGTCTTTTTTTGCAGATTGGATTGCTTTGGCTCTTAATTTTTGGAATTTAAATAAATAAATAATCAGTTTTAATATTAAATTATTGATTAAGCATTCCTATTATGTATTAAACTAAGCAGTTTTTATTTCCATTACCTTTTTAATTTTTTTAATTACAAGTGACCACGTCTTCAGAAACTGTGGTAAATGATTTATTAGGACATAGTTTCAATTAGAGGATCTGAAGGGAAAAGACTCAAGAGAAGAAGGCATTTTAGATAAACCATGTGTTTCATCGAGATTTCTCATAAGAACATAAAATAAAGTTAAACAGGTTTTGATATTTTCAAGAATTCTCTGTTCACAATTTATATGTAAAGATATTCAGTTTCTCAACTGTTAATATTTCTTGGGGTCACAAGTCGTGAATATTCAATAGTTACGTGTAGAATATAGGAAAGCATTCAAAGAGATCGGATTTTTTTGGGAGGATCATGAGGCTGATGTTGATTTAGGATTTATTCCAATGAATTATGTTTATAGGTGGGGATACGTTGGAATTAAATGAATTAGATAATGAACTCTGCAAAACTAAAAAGTTATTTTGTTTCTTGACGTTTAATCGATTACAAAATTGAAATATTTTATATTTACGCAAATAACATAAAATTTAAATGATGATACATAATATAAAGAGGTCTCAATTTGAAAGTACCTTCTCATGTGTCAGTATTCGGAACTCGTTTGTCTTTTTGATAACTTTACATTTTTTTTCTTGATTACACTTTTTTTCTTCTTTATACATTTCATGGTCTCCCCTTGAATATGTCTATGTAATTATGTGTAATTAATTTTGAGATTGTCCATACTCATTACATTTCGTTCTAGCAAGAAAGAGTAATATATGTGAAATTTAATGTATCTTTCTACAGAAAGCATAAAAGTAGCATCATATGATATATGTGTGTCCATATATATATGGAATATATGGAATTTAATAATTTATTAAGATGGAATATTGTGTGACTGGTCGTGACTCGTTAGGAACATCGAAGAAGGATATATTTAGTGCAGGACGTTAACTTATAACCACACTTTGAAGTTTGATCTTATATGGTCCTCTCGCTTCGATATTTTCTTATAACCACGTACGTAGACGTAAACACACGTGATGCGAAATTTTCAAATGGATATATTTTAAAATATAAATGAGAAATTATCGTGTTACATAGATCTAATTGAGAAGAGCTTGAGCTTGGTAAAGACATACTGTAAAAATATAAAAATGTGTTTCCAAGTAAGTGAAAATCTAATATAATTTATCCGTAAATGAAATATCAGATTAGTTAGCACTTTAGGTTGAGATATGGTTTGTTGTTCGTTATCTACCAACGATGCACGACAGCAACCAAATCATTTATGCAACGATACAATTAGAGGACTAACTAACAAACAAAATTTCCAAATGCTAAACTTTTAGTATTTTTAATTTCAAATTAGTAATATATCACTGAAGCATAACACTAAACTAGCGACTAATTAAAAACCAACATGGTTTGGTCGCTGAAACATCAACAATTAATCGTTTTCTACTTTTTGTTGTTGTTGTTGTTGTTGTTTTATTTTCTTGTTGACCACTATGGGAGTTTCCAGATTCGATCCATAATCTCTATTCTCTCTCAATATCCAAAATCATTCTTTGAATATTTCGATAAAAAGAACAGTGTTCCATTTTAAATGAGGTTTGAATCCGAAGCATAAAGTAACCAATCTCCTTGTAAACTAAACCACTACTCCTTTAATTACTTCATTGCTGTTGGTCGTTGACAACAGTGCTGGCCAACGTACAGAAACAATTTTAACTCAGTTGAGAAGAAATCATATTTGTTTTTATTCCAAAATGCTCCCGCTTTAAGCATGAATCGAAGGAGAGTCATGCTCCTAAGAAAATATATGGTGAATAATTATGATTTGTGACAGTCATATGTAGATTATAAGAAAAATATTCGATGGCGTTGGATTTTTTTGAAATGATCATGACTCATGAGGCTGAAACTGATTTATGGAAATTTCGTGGGAGGCGGCTTCGGTAGGGTTAATACGTTGGAATTTAATACTTCTGATAATGAGTTATAAAAAAAAATAGAAATTTAAATTCTAAAAACGTTAATAGATTGAACATTGGAAGATATTATTTACGTAAATAAGATTTGACATAAAGATGTATAGTATCAACTTTACAATACTAGTTTACGTCAGGTCTATTTATTGAGAAATGAGAAATGAGAAGATGTTAGACGAGGTACAAAACCGCGTTTTTGTAGAAAACAATAATTAAATATTATATTAAAGATTGACTTCAAAAATTAATTATCCACTATACTTTTATATTTGGTTTGCTTTAATCTATATATACACATTACTGGTCGACGATACGTGAGAGAGGAACAAAACAATTGTTTGCAATGGTAATGAAGAAAACAACACAAGCTTTTCTTCTTCTGAGTTTGCTTCATCTACTTCTATGTTTATCCATTCAAGCTCGTGTCACAGAGGCTAGACTCCGTCACCTAGGTCAGTCTCTTCTTATTCCGAAAAATCCTGTCACATCATAGTTTAGACTAAAAAAAATAACTAACTCCATATTTGATCAACTAAAATCATGCCTTCTGCAACATTATTATTTAAATAAATCTATACACACAAGCATATTTTATATTATAAATTATATAAGTATTTAAAAATATAACATACTTAACAACCAAACGAAAAATATTAAATCTTGCAAAATAACCAAAATTCAAGCTTATCCGCTGGGATCAAAAATTGCCTTATTATGTTCGTAAATATCGTAGTTTCTTTTGTTATGGAGTATACACATCAATGTTGGGTCTAGGGTCAAAGGCGGAAACTCGCTAGAGTCCCAAATTTGATTTCACTGTGTGCAATCTCTGCCTGTGGGTCACTTAAACTTTGGTTCGTGGTGGATTCTTAAGAAACTTCTTGCAAATAGACAAGCTTACTTACCTCAGAGATTAGTCCCGACGCTTCGGCAAAACTCGGATCACTAATTAAAAAAAAAATGTTCTATGGTTATAACCTTTAGATAATCTCTCCGGTAACTTTTTTCTAACATATTGACTTGTGTGTGTGTTAAAAGGTGAGGCTCGGATACTGACACAGTCGAAACCAAGCATAAGCGTAAGACCCTCCCCACCATGTAGAGCTCCTCTGAGTCCTCGGCGTAGTAGGCCAGTTAAGCCTTGTATAGTAGTCCCAAGACCTCCTCGTTGAGATCGGTGCTCTCCGGCCAACAAGAGGCAACGTTAAAAATGAACTTACACACCGGATTCCACAAAGACTTCCAGAGAAGCCTACCACGGAAATTATACTATTCATTACTCTTTCCGTTTTTTTTTTATATAAAATGTTCTAATTAAAGATTTTTTTAAAAAAAAATAATTGATATTCTCACATATTTATACAAAAATTAATTATATTTTTATTATTTAAACTATTTGAATTCTGCTTGGTCTTTTTTTATTGATTCAAATGTTTTAGAGTTGATGATAAAATATGTTTTATTTTGAAAAAATACAAAACTAAATAACTTTTTAATTTATATGCAAAACCCTTAAATATCATATATAAAAAACAAAGACTATTTAGAAACCATATGCTGTATTCCAAAATTTATTATTTGCGGCCTGTGCCAAAGCTATAATTATGACCGTTTTCTTATTATTTCTTTCAAAAAACCATATGTATACATGGTAAAAATAATAAGACGATGCATGCTACTAGAGGATAGATAGTTTACTTGTAAAATTCTTTCACCCGTTGGATTGTTTTAAAACCATACATGCACCATCATATATAATAGACATTTGCATGTCTGTGTAAATGTAAATTTTTGTGATCGTCGTGACTCACAAAGGGAGCTAAAAAAGTTCAGACGTTAGATTGTTGATTCTTTTATTTAAGTATATGTAAAAAAAAAAATTGTTGATCAATCAATTTCACAGTATATAAGAAAATAAAGTTCCAACGTTGACATTTAACCATGTGATCTTGTGGTCCTCTCGCTTAAATAGTTCCTTAATTACCTGTTTTAAATTCATCAAACATTCATTCATACACATGGAAAAGTAAGAAGTTTTTTTTTAACATTAAGGAAAAGTAAGAAGTTGACTTCGTAATTAAATAATGTATAAAGATGCTGTAATATAAATGCATGGCTTTTGCCGTAATCGAATTAACAGTGATATGTATTTCCGCATGTCACCCGGGTTCGATAATGCGCAACGGCGAATGTTTTTACCAAAAAAAAAAAAATTACTAAAAGAAGTAGAGAAAACAGCATTGGCTTCGCCCGGGTTCGAACCGGAGACCTTCAGTGTGTTAGACTGACGTGATAACCAACTACACCACGAAACCATTTTGTGGTGGAGTTGCATCAAACAACATTATGACAGTAGTTTGGTTCAGTGGACTTGATGACTCATGCTACTAACTTATGCTGAGGAGAAGAGAAGGTGTTGCTAGCATCATGCTGTTTGCTTATCGAATTTCTTTTGGTACAAAACTATTGCTGATTCCATGGATTCTTTTGGTTATGAAAGTTGATGTCAGCTCATGTTGTTCTTCTCTTCATGTTATGTTTGTCTACTACATACAAGTAATTGGAGATGGAAGGATGACTAGAGAGAGGAAGATTTTAGTATATCATGAAAACATTCCACATAAATGCATAAATAACCAGAAACAAGAAAAGTCATAAAGTCCAACAACATAGTAACATGAACAGCTATTTTCTCATGGCTAAGTACTGGTAGTCTGCTAAAAATGTCAATTAAGAATTAACGCAAGAGTGTCAAACTGGCTAATAATCCAACAAAACGAATCCACCTAGTCTCAGATTTTTCTATCCAACCCTCAAATATCTGACTTTAAATCAACATTACAACTCAGAATCTGAGACTCTCATATGTTTCCTTTGAAGGGCCTTCTCTGCTTCAATCTCCGCCACAATAGCACCGATTACAGCTTATTCTAGCTGCCTCTGACCATTGAAGAACGTAACTACAAGCATGTGTTCATAATTAAATACAAAACCGCGTTTTTCTAGAAAACAAGAAGTCTTCGAAATTTGACACTTCAGATTTATTTATCAACTATACGTTTGATTTTCTTTGTACATAAATTAATAACGATATACCGGTCACAACAAACACATCTAGCGGTTTATAATTGAAAATTTTATCTCGGAACACATATATGATAACAACAAACGTTGAAAAGTTTACAAATAAAAAACACTTACCCAAAAACAAAAGACGAATGGGTCAATCATACAATATATTAGAACCTACAAAAGTCTTGCATGCGTAATTACCCAGATATGTTCATACAATTGAATTTGAGTAAAGTATTTCATTGTTTAATTACAATAAGTTGCATTGCTGATGTACAAAACCGTGTTTCGTAGGAAACAAGAAATCGTTGAAGTTTGAATTAAACCTTATTTAATATATTATTGACTTCCTTCACTTTATATATGTATGTATATCCTACTTTGTCCGACAAGTGAGAGAGGAACATGCAATGATGATAATGAAGAAGACAACAAAAACTTTACTGCTTCTAAGTTTGCTTCACATACTTCTATGTCTATCATTTCAGGTTCATGTCACAGAGGCTAGACTCCGTCACCTAGGTCAGTCTCTTCTTATCCCAAAAATCTCTGTGACACTAAAAATTTATATAACGTTTTGAATGGTTTACAAACTGGTTAGTTTGTCTCAACCATTCAAAACCTAATATGTAACTATTTTAAAGATATGAAAAAGATAGTCTCTACGGTGTTTTTCTTTGACATTACTATTGACTCGCGTGTGTCAAAAGGTAAGGCGGCAATGATATGCACAAGACCTCCCCCACCATGTGGAGATTCTCCTTCGACAAGTGGAGCTACGGGAAAGAATGATAAGCCTTGTAGACCCATTCCAAGACCTCCTCCTCCTTATCACTGCTCTATGCACAAGGGATAGTAGCAACGTTGGATACTTTAAATAGTTGGATTTATACACTTAGATATTCACCAAAATTATTTGCTCCCTAGCTATGATGATGAAGTTCTCGTTTAATTATGACCTTTTTGCATTATTTCTTTCGAATTATCATGTATATACATTGTAAACAATAAGAAGTAATAATAACGTTCGATCGATGCTTCGTAAAATTCTTGCATGCAGCCGTACGAATGTTTTAAACAACCAAAATCATATATATGCACTGCACCATCATACGATATTAATATTCGTCTCTATCTTGAGGTCTCTATAGACAAGAAGAATGTAAGTAAGTCAGTAACCAAAATGAAATTCAAAGAGCAGAGTTTCTAGCCTTCTTATACATTTATCCAATTGCTAGTATTAGAAGGCAAACTCTTGAAACAAGTGTGACAGAGACTGAGGTTTATAAATACCATCTGTCAATAAACATTACTTTATTGTAATATAATCAACAATAAAGCCATTTCTAACACCTATTAAGGAATCACCAAGAGAGGCAATTGCATATACGCACGGATCCTTGAGGAGATGAGTTTTAGAGGCGAGGATAGCGAGAGCGGCCTTTCTTCTTCAAGAACTCTGGGATCTCTATGGAACTGCCTTCAGTGAAAGATGAAGAAGGACGTCTTGTTACTCCCATTGATGCATCCGCTTGTGTCGCCTGTGTTTTCATATCAGAATACTTAACATTCTGATATAAGAATCGACTATGTTGTGTATGTCAAGGGAGACAAATTGAATACCTGAAGTGGCCTCCCTTCTCCTTCTTCTTGCCGTTTGAAGCCGGTTGCTATTAGGGTAATACTTATCTGACCGGAAAAAAGCAAAAAAAGAAAGATGTTCATGTGAGAAGAAGATCTCAGAGGTTTACATGTGACTGTGAGAAGAAGATCCAAGAAAGAAGAATACTAACCTGACCACTAAAGGATGGATCTACCACAGCGCCAAATATAAGATTGGCTGTCGGATCAACGAGGTCGTATATCACTTCCGCAGCAGCATTTACCTACAAATGGTTCCCACGAGAATCAAAAACAGAGCATCACAACATTACACGTGACATGGATCCAAAGCATTGTTCTGAGAAAGACCTCGAAGAGTGTCAAGTCAGTTCCACCGGTTATGTTCCAAACGATTCCAGTGGCTCTCTCAATGCCAATATCTAACAACGGTGACTGGATCGCGTTTAATGCAGCGTCTCTTGCTCGAGTTTTTCCTGCTCAAAATTACAGTACAGCATGAAAAAAGTAGGCAGTATTATTCGATTCATCAACTTACTTAACATTTGTAATACCAATTATAAGTAAAACCTTCGACTTTTAGTCAACAAACATATGCATCTAGGGTCATCTATACTACTCAAGGGGTTCCTTAACCTTCCGTCTAGCAAAAATATGCCTATTGTTACTACGCAAACAGAGCCTATTAACAAAAAGTCTCATACCTAAAGCACACTTCTACTCTTACCTGTTGCAGTTCCTATTCCCATCAATGAAGAACCTGCATTCGCCATTATAGCCCTCACGTCAGCAAAATCCACATTGACCAATCCAGGAATCTGCAATGCAAGTTAAACAAAAAAATACAGCTGTTAAACACATTTCCCATAGACAACGATTCTCATTGAAGATAAAACATATTAACAAAGCCATACCGTAATAATATCAGAGATTCCACGGACTCCTTGACGAAGTATATCATCAGCCAAATTAAATGCTTCTGTAACTGGAGTAGACATAGAGACTGCTGTAAGCAACTTGTCGTTTGGAATAACAATGAGAGTATCCACATTATCCCTGAGAGCTGCAATCCCTTCCTGAGCCTGGACTGTTCTTCTCCGTCCCTCAAAGGAGAAAGGCGTTGTGACAATACCAACAGTCAATATACCCATAGCTTTTGCAACTCCTGCTATTATCGGAGCCCCACCCGTCCCGGTTCCACCACCCATTCCAGCCTAAGAACAATAGCAATACTCAAACTCAACCAGTGAACTTAAAAGAATACAATAATCCATGATTAGTTTACTATCATCTGAGACATAAAGGTCACTACTTTAGCAAGATCCATGATTAGTTTACTATCATCCGAGGCATAAAGGTCACTACTTTAGCAAGATGGAGACTAAAAAAACCATACTTTTCAGCAGAAACAAGCATAATAAAAGTTTTATAACTAAGAAGTGATAGATAGATAGACATACTGTGACAAAAACCATATCTGAACCATAAAGCGCTTCTTCGATAGCTTCTTTGCTTTCTCTAGCAGCATTCATTCCAATCTCTGGATTACCTCCAGCACCTAAACCCCTAGTCAGCTCCTTACCAATCTGTAACCTATTGTCCGGGAAAACCGGAGACATTCTCATCGCCTGAATGTCGGTGTTCACAATCCAAAACTCCACACCAACCATCTCACTCTGTATCATGCGGTTCACAGCGTTTGAGCCACCACCTCCGACGCCGATAACTTTTATCCTTGCCTCATTGTAAGTGCTCGGAGCAGTCGGCTCGCCGAAATCCTCGGCGATGGGAGCACCACTGGAAGTTTCTTTCCTTGGATTGAGCATCGATATCTCTGGGTGGAGGTTCAAGAAAGAGTCTTGGCTTTGGAAATTGTTTGGACTATGAGAATATAAAGAGTTTCTGATCGGTTTATGAGCAGCAAGAACGTGGTTTCTCTTACTTTGAATCATTCTGAAGCAACTAACCCTTCTTCCTAGATGATTTTCCGGTAATACAGTCTTTCGAAGAACAGTGAGCACACGAGAATCCGGAGGAGTCAAGCATGGAGAAACATAAGTTGCCATTTTGAGAACACAGAACCAAGAAAGATCTTAAAACTCCTTTTTTTTTTTTTTTTTTTTTTTTGCTAACCAAAGACCTGTTCAAGAGGAAGAACAATAAGTCAACCACAAGGTCCTTAAGCAAGAACAAAAACTTGCATTTGCATTCTACAGTAGTATGATTGAAACCCAGTTGCATTTAGGTCTGTAGCCTAAAACTAGAAGCTAGGATTACTTGTACGAACAATCAGATTAAGAGAGTAGAAAGATAAATGAAGCGATTCAATAACATTCGAAAAAAAAAAAAAAAAAAAAATCAGTAGGCATCTAAGAAACAATGCTTTTGATTAAAAAGCTCCCGGAGAGGATCAATTTTGAATCGAAAGGTATTATGAAATAGCAAAATTTGAAGATCAAAATTTGGCCAAATACGGGAAACAAAAGGTAAGACATTTAGATGATTGGCTGAAACAAGGTCCAGGGGATAGAAATTGAAAAGTAGGAAACTGCGAACGAAATACATTAACATGTCGAAGAGGAAGAGAAACCTGGAGTAGTAGTAGTAGTAGCAACAGCAGAAGATTTCGACTTTCGAGCTACAAAGAAAAGAAAATGTGAAAGAAAAAATAAGATGGAAAGCAAAAGAAATGGAGGGTTTTTGGTGTTTTCTGGGCTTAGAATCTCTTTCTCAATCACATAAAATGTGGATTAAGAAGAACTTTGCTTTTGCTCTAATGTCTCAGTAAATTCATCTGTGAAGTTGGCAATTGTGAAAAACGTTGGCCGACGAGAAGAAACAAAAAAAAATGAAGGTTTAAGAGAGATATGGACCTAAACGTTCTCTTAAAGCCCATATCACCTTTTGGGCCTTACGTGAAAAGTGGTGATTTTTTATCTAACCAGCTTGTATTTCTTTATGTTTGGCGTTAGTTCGATTTGAGTCAAATCAATGTTCTGGTGAAAATTTCAAATTTATCTTAGGGCATTTCACATTTTATGCTTTTGTTTGTCTTCCAGTTTTGTAGAACATACCATCCAACAGCCAAAGTCAACAGTCATTTTTAACTTTTTAAGACCAATATAAAGATAGGTCTTTTTTTTTTTCCTCACCATGAGTGTAACAAAGGCACAATCTCAAATCTCGATGGCTCCTTCGTGTTATACAAAAAACAAAAACATCTATGGAGAACTTTTTTTGTTCTATCTTGAGACAATGATCATCATATCCTCTGATCAACTTAAGAAATTGCTCTCATCACAATTTTATTTAGTCCAAGCTTACACTTCTCTATACTTCCCACTCATATTTCCATCCTAGTTGAGGCAACATAAGTGATCTTAATTAGTACTATCTTCCAAAATCCTAAATCAACAAAAAACATCAAGGGCAAATCTACAGTAACACTGCATACACATGCTCAAATTCATGCCAAAAAGCTGCAAAAGAGTAACATAGAAGCATAAAGTTTCAAGATTTCCCACTGGAATCAGATTACTTCAACCACATCAACAGAAAATTCCTCTAAAATCATCACACAAACCAAGAAAAAACCTTTACAACGTCTCAGGCTCTCAGCTATTACACCACATTGAACAATCAAAAGGTTTTCTGGAATTAGGCTAGTTCGCTAAATGACCCATGAAAGATGAACAAATCTATCAATATTCTGAAAGCGAAAGAGCAAGGGAATCAAAATATAACGAGAAGTGAGAAGAGAGTATAGATCAAGAAACAGGCGTACGAAATCAAACCACGGTGCTCTTCTCCTCCATCGGCTAAAGACACGACAAGGTTAGAGCAAGCTCTCGTGGCCCACAAAACGAATGCCGCAGCGAGCACGTACCGAGCCGGACCTGCACCTTGCGGCACGAACAGTGACACCGCCGAGAGAATCACAACGGGAAGCAGAGAGTAACCCACTAAGCTCGTGCAAGTATGAAGGTTAAGATTCCCGTTTCGGCCAGCAAGCATGTTGAAGACGATGTACAAGAAGATGGAGGAAACAACGACCCAGCCGAGTATCACGCCGAACTGGATCTTCCCAGCGAGCAATTGAAACAAGCAAAGCGCAAGGTAGAGGAAGATCGGTCCAGAGAGATCTGAATCCTTGTGAGCAGTCTGATTGATCCGGAAAGGGTTGAGAATCGACCTGGTCTTCTTCCAGATTTGATCCGGATGGATACCGAGCTCGTCGAGTAGAGGCTCCTCGTCTTCGAACGACGCAGAGCTTCCTCCGCCGAATGATGAAGAGGGAGCGATTGTTCCGCCGAATGGTCCAGCCTGCGTCGCGGAGGATGCTGCAGCGGCGGATCCGATGTCAAACGACATGAATGGGATTGAGGATGAAGCTGAGGGATGAGGAGGTTGGTAAGGAGCTGTGGGTGCTCGGCGTTGCTGGACATTTGCTCCGGCCGGAGATCCGCCGGAGGGGAAAACTACTGGCGGAACTGCGAAATCCTTTGCCATCTTCTATAAGTGTTTTCCCCCAAACAAAAAAAAGTCGAAATCTCGCTGATTCCGACCTTGAAATCAATAGAGGGATTTAAATTTTATTTATTGAAATTTGTTTTTTCTCCTCTTTAACTAATTAACCAAAATCACAAATTGAAAACCAGTATAAATCACTCTAAACCAATAAATGTCCATATATAGTACGTGGCAAATAAAAAAATCGATATAGTAAAGTTTTATAAGTTAATATTTAACAAATTAATAAATTCTATAAACTAATAAATTTTTCAGATTTCAATTTAGACTGATTTAATTTATAACATAGATCAAAACAATTATATAAATATATTGATCATTAATACTATAAATTAATAGTTATCATAAAAATAATTTTATACAAAAAGTAATTATGATAATCTACTAAAATATGAGTAGATTATTGTTTATGAAATTTTAAAAGTTATTAAAAATTCTAATAAATTTTTAATTAATTATTTATATTATCTAACTATTTTTATTTTTTTCCTTTCTCTTTTTCTTTTCTGTAATAGCTCTATTCTCTGCAATTTCTCTTTTAAACTCAATCTCTTCAACTATTCTGTCCACATCAATTTGTGTAACTTTTCTGTTCACTCGATTATAATGACTCCACAGTAATTTAGAAAATTCTTTATCGATCTTATGATTATTTCAGAAACTTGATATTAGATTCTAAGCAGCATTAAATTTCTAATTTATGTGATGTTTCTAGAATTCATTGATGATCATGGTTCATGAATAAGAACAATACCATGGACTTTGAATTTGTTGATGACATCGTGTGAATTTGTTTATAGAACGTGAAGAAAAAAAAAAAAATGAAGGGTTTTTGTTTTCTGGGCTTAGAATCTCTTTCTCAATCACATAAAATGTGGATTAGGAAAACTTTGATTTTGTTCCAATGTCTCAGTAAATTCTTCTCTGAAGTTGGCTGGCAAATGAGGAAAACGTCGACGAGAAGAAACTTAAAAAAAAAAAGAGGGTTTAAGAGAGATATGGACCTAAACGTTCTCTTAAAGCCCATATTATCTTTTGGGCCGGCCTTAAAGCTCTCTCAAGCCCATATCAGCTTGCATTTCTTTAGGTTTGGCGTTAGTTCGATTGGAGTCAAATCAATGTTCTGGTGAAAATTACAAATCAATTTAGAGGGCGTTTCACAGTTTATTCTTTTGTTTCATGTTTTCCATTTTTGTAGAACAGCTAAAGTCAACATGACTGTCATTTTAAGACCATGAGTATAACAAGGCACGATCTCAAGTCTCGATTGCTTGTTTGTGAAGTATCTAAAATCAATGATCATCATATCCTCTGATCAACTTAAGCAGTTGCTCTCATATCCTCTAAAAACTATTTTTGTAGAACACACCATTCAACAGCCAAAACCACTCATATACTCACTAGACTTATCATCGTAGTTGAAGCAACACAAGTGTTAGATGTATTATACTTAACAAATCCTAATTACTATCTTCCAAAATCTCAAATCAACAAGAAACATTAAGGGAAAATGTACTAATTCTACACATGCTCAAATTCATGCCAAGATGCTGTAAAAGAGAAACACAATAGGATGAATATATAGCATAAAGTTTCAAGATTTCCCACTGGAATCAGATTACTTCAACTACATCAACAGTTCCATAGAAACATAAAAGGATGAACTATTTTTTTCAAATCAAATTTCTTTTATCTTAGAAGATTTAGTCTTTGGAGTTAAATGTGTTTCTATGAGTTTCAGAGTTTTTCTTCTCTTTAACTACTAAGGCACATAAAAACACAAATTAAACAGGTCCAATCTTTTTCCCATCTTTTAACTCAGAAACACACCATTATGTATGTTGAACTGAGACTTGTATAGAAATACCCCAAAATCACAAAGTAGAAGTGAGCGTGTACCATTCATAACCTTAAGTCTAAAATAACTTCCTTCAATGTAAGTGAAAAATCAAACCCTATAGCATATTGCTCCGCATAATATCTATACATCGTAAACTTGCAATTATAAACTTGCAATTTCACTCCAAAGAGTAGAGTGAAACCCTATAGCATATTATCATTTTTTTGATGTTTTCTAAACTTGCAATTTCACTCCAAAGAGTAGAGTAACAAATGCAAAAATATGCATAAGTTGAGGGTCGAAGTCTCAAAGATATCATACATCGTAACTCAAACCCTATAGCATATTTTCCAAACCCTAGGTCTCATAAATAAGAATTGAGAAGAATAATGATTATAGAAATTGAAAAACCAGAGGTCCATAATTAATTCTGACGTCAGATGATGATGCCTTGCATGGTCTTCCAAAGAGATTTGGGGTAATCATAAATCGGACATCTCTAAAATTGAGATTTCAAAGTTGACTTCGAGTTTGCCTTGTTTTATGATATATGATGATTCATTTCGGCCAATTGTATCAGGATAGTTTTTGGCGTCAATCTAATTTTCATACAAACACTCGAGTACGATGCGACATATTTCTTATTCTTCTAGTTATTTTTGTATATCACATTTTAATAGTGATATGCAAAAATGATAGATTAATGAATGTAAAGTTATGGAGTAATAGATAAGAGGCTTATAAGAACTGAAAAATCAAAAGACTAACAAATAAACCAAGGTAGATAGATTTTCTTGTTTACATCTTACTAATCTACTGTGCCCGTATTTATAAGTATCTAACCAATTGCATATAAAGTATAGGTCTTGGTAATAAAAATCAAAAGCTCAGCATCATGCAGGTGCTCCAAATTGGTATGTCCTTAATTATACTATATCAACGTTTTATTAACGGACCTTTTATGAAGTGTTTAATGTCAATATAAAACGGTTTTAAAAACAAAGTACGGTAGTACAATTTGAAAATATTTTAAAGTTTTAAATGAAAAGAAAAAAACGTGAAATGCAATGAGTTGATGTTAAGGATGTCGGAGTAGAAAAATAAGTCAATAAGACCAGAACTCGTAGTTACGTTTTCAAACGGAAATGAATAGTCCTTTGACTAAATAATACTAATACGTTGTGAGGTGATGACGTCACATAGAATCCGAATGAAAAGCCCCTTGTCTCATCTCTCTGCACAGAGCCGCTTGAATCTCATGACACCTTGTGCCCTCCTTTTATATTTCTTCATTTTTTCTCCACTACCTAATGTAAAATTGTATATTAATTTTAAGTTTTGACATATTTTCCTCATTTTCTGCTCAAGTAATCCTAATAAGAACACGTAAATATACATATAACACAGATTCATGAAACTACTACACACATAAATTTTGAAAATAGATATCACATAGCGATGACAAATTTATAGAGTGAATGGAGTTTATCTGGTAGTGGTTCTAACAGTGTCGTTGTCCTTTTATAATTTATATTTAAACCCAAGAGTATATACATGTTGTAAATCATAGATGATAAGGATAAATAAATTAGAGAGTCCCATCTAGATGTGTTTAATTTATTTTTACAAAAATGTATACTCCATATCTCACATTCTCACCAATCCATAGTTCACATTTGAAATAAAGTGTTATATATTTTAGGCATAAACATTTACGGAAAAATTATTAGGGTAATGTTACAGAATTGTGAACATGCTTAACTTAAAGTAATTGACTCAGCTAATCAGAGAGGTTAAGAGCTATAATATTCCGACATTAACTGATCTGAGCTTTTATTCAGTAGTATTACTGTTTTGAAGATAAATGATGTACATATATATATGATCAATATTATCAACAACTGGCTTGAACCATAATCATTCAAATGTTCAGATGCACATGGCCTAATAATTAATCCTTTCAATTTAGGATGTTAGGATAAAACATTCATCACGTGATTTGAATTTCCTACTATACACTGTAGTCTACACTACACTACTAGTATTAAAGTTGCTTTCTTCCTCATTTCATCTTAAATCCTTGGACTTACTTAAACCTAATCATAATATTAGAAACCTAATTTTTAAAAAATAAGATCAGTTTGCTAAATTAGCATGAACTCAACACTTTAATTTCCATTTACTTGGAAACACCATGGACTAGTTAAATATATTGTTTAGGCAAACGTTATAGTAAACTTTTACTATATACTTATATTCTTGATGTAGCTTAAGATGATATATCAATATTGGATGATGTTTTATTATAAATCTATAATTATAGAAATGAAAAATGTTCCCACTGTATTTGATAAACTAATGGGATAGATATGCACTTATATGATTAAATAGAGTAGAAGTACAATTGTTAGTCCAAGAATAAACCATATCCTAAAGTCCCAACCCCACACGAGAAAGATCTTTAATTAACATAGAAAATAGGAACAAAAGTGAAAATATGACTGAGAACTGAGAAGACTAACAGAGAGACACTGTCTTCTTATAATAAAACAGAAACTTCCTTTCACATTAAAGACTACTGGATACTACTACTACAACTATCTTGCTACATTACACCAAACAAAATAAAATAAAATCAATCCATAAAGGTTGGATAATTTTGTCTACAATTTTAAGATCTTTGCTCTAACATCTCTTGGCTTTGAATCATGATTGTCCAGAAGCAGAGCTTGATGAAATCTCTTGGCTTTGAATCACGATTGTCCAGAAGCAGAGCTTGATGAACAGAGATTGTCGTTACTGTTTGATCCATCATGGTTCTTAGTCTTGGAGAGTTTTTGTTTGAGTTGAAACAAAAGCTGTTGGTTCTCTTGTTTCAGAAGCTCAGCTTTCTTCCTTAGCCTCTCATTCTCTTTCATTATGTAGCAGTTTTCAACAAACAGCTTCGAGTTTAGCCTCTCCATTGCTTTCTTTCTTTCTTCAAGAAAACAAAAACCAAAATTGTTGTCAAGAAAAAAAAGACAGTAATAATAATATCAAAGCTAGCTTGTGTTATGATTACTGTTCATGTTAAATCATTACATCACACATGGGTTGTGCAGCTTCACACGTCGGATGTGAATTACATTAGGGGAGAGTTATTTGTCGCATTTATTTCGTTTTCGTCCTAAAAATGTGAATTCTTTTTCTTCTTTTTAAGAAATCAATGAGCAAAGAGAGAAGAACATGATTATAAATTCGTATGGAGGATAAAAAGATAAAGCTAAGAAAAGAAAAAAATGAAAGAAAAGAGATAAAAACAAGTAATCATGATGATATGCAGTAATTATAAATGTTTTAACCTCTCTGCTTTTATTTGTATTGACAGAAAGTAATGATTATTTTGAAACGCAACCAAGCGAGAAAAAAACAGAGTAAGCAAGAAAACAAAGATCGCAAGTGATCGTATAAATACAATTTAACAAAAAAATCAATCGAGTTTCCAAAGAGAAGATACATATTTTTAAAAGGGAAAAAAATATAACAAAGTTTTTTTTTTCCTTTCGGTTGCCTCTGTGTCAAAGAAAAGGATAAATATTAAAACTTTCCATCATTGAGGGAAAAAAATGTTTATATAGTATAAAAAAGGAAAGGATATAACGGATTTGTCTTCACGTTGTGGGTATGTTTGAGGTTACTACATAGCTCTTGACTTAACGTATGCCCGGAAAAGGAATAGAAACAGAGCAAGAAAAGAATGGTTTCAAAAAAAAACAGAGCAAGAAAACAGAACAGCGCAACGAATAAGAAACAGAGTAGAAACATAGCAGTAAATTGAAACAGAAACAGAGAAAAAGAAAAGAAAACGGATCATATAGAGACCTGGTACATCATCTTTGATGAAAGAACTCAGGTAAATCTTCTAGAAGATACTAAAAGAGAGATAGAAGAAAGGTTATACCTTTTGGGAAGGAGTGTTGAGAGGAAGGAGAGGGAGAGGGAGAGAGAGAGACGATACTGTTGTGTGTGGAAGGTAGAGGGACAAAGAGAACAAAGGGAGACACTGTCTGTTATATAGATCCCCAAAAGCTAGAGAGAGAAGGTTACTTCCTCTCTCTCCTGACACAACAATCATGCATTGTGTTGTGTTTATGCATAGATGGCGGCCGCGAGGAGAGAGAGAGAGATGTGTGCATATTGCGTCATGTGAATGATGATGATTTATTAAAGAGAAAGAAGTTAGAGAGAGAAAGGGGGTTTCTTGCTTTGCTTGCTCTTGTTTCGAAATTGATCTCTAGGGATATTTTCGTAATTCTCGAAAGATCCCTCTCGGCTCTTCATCGTATTGATCCTCGAAACAGGAAGATTCGTGCGTGGTAAAAAAAAACTAGCCCGAGGGTGTTTAGGTAATATGGAAGAAGTGGTCAGGGAAGGGTAAATTCGTCATTGTGTAGGAATGGGAGGCTATGTAGTAGAAGGCCATCGACCTCTAAAGATTCGCAATGATGGTAAAGATTGGTTCGAACCATCATCCTTCATGATTCAATTTCAACCGTTTTGGACCATTTTTAAATGCTCTCTTTCCTCCTCTTAGTCCCCGGTTTGCTCAATATTGGTCTAAGTCAATATTACACTCTACCATTATTAAAAAAAGTTTCAGATTTTTTGGAATACAAATCATTTAGTACCTCTTTCTAAATGTCTACGTTAAAATTTGTCATAAACACAAAACTTCGGGTTTTTTATTTTGAAGTTTAAGATTTTTTAGGTAAGATTAAACATAGAGCAGTCATTTTAAGAACGGCACATATTTTAATTATTATTACTACACACAATGTAAACATAAAATGTTAATAAAATAAATGTGTTAGTAGCCTCGTCAAGATGCACTTTGGCAACTCCGTACAATTCCCAAAATTGTTTGTTTTTGGTTATTTTAATTTTAATTGTTCCTCCTTCACTGTTTTAGCATTCCTTCTCTAGATAAATATAGATTTAATTATTATGAGAAAGAAAAATACGAGAAATAAACAATGAAGACGAAGAGTGTTTGGACTAGTGAGCTCCAAAACCTACACAAAATAATCATGGATCATGTGTGGTGGTCGAACGTGAAACATCATTTAAAGGCTTATGATAATATTCTTTCCGTAGATTTTCATGTATCCGTTTAGAACTCGTTCGTTTGCCAATTAAACTACTTTACCTTGTGTATATCTTGTACGGCTTCTTTAAACCTTTTTTCACGGAATAAATTTGAGAGGATATCGTAGAAGATTTTGCTGTTAAGCTTTATACTGCCAACTAAAACGATTTACATTAAAACAATTAAGCCGATATTTTTCATATCCCAAATTCCTATCAATATATTTATAACTAGATGATCAGTCTGCACATAAAATATTTTATATGTTTAATTATGATTGATATAATATTGAAAATGTTTTATTTGTATATGATTAATTATGTATTTGTTAATAAATAACGATAAATTAAATATAAAATATAATATATTTCAATAGAAAATGAAAATAAAAAATATTAACTAATATTTTATAATATTTCTTTAAATAAAAAATGTAAATATTATAACTAAATAAACGGAAAACATTAAAATATATAATAATTTATTTAATTTTTATTTTTCGGTCTGCACGCATGTGTAAGTATTTTTTTTTACAGACATAATTAGTTGTAATATTTAAGTATTAATTAATTTTCTTATATATTATGTAAATGTTATGTTTTTATACATATACAATTTTAGTGTTCAACAACAATCACACAAATTTTTTATATCGTTTTGTGTCTTTTAAAATTTTTTTATTTTTCCTAGCGTTTACAGTAACATATAATTGCAAATGTAAAAGTTATATTAAATAAGAATTAAATTCTTATAATATGTTTTGAATATTATCGATATAATACTTTCTTTTCTCTTTACATAATATAATCTTGCATATATATATATATATAAGTATACATTTCTCCTTGACCTATTGTTAAGTAAATCAAAATGAATTCTACCATATTTATTTATCCTAAGAACGGGTAGATGGTTGGTCCGCACATTCATGGGTACCAACCACCTCACCGCTCTTACGTATAAAGATTTTTTTAAAAAAATATAAATTGTCTAACAACTAAAATTAAAATTAAAGTGTAATCGAGGCTAACAAAATGTATGTATGACAAGTTTGCATTCGAGTTTGACTTTTGCACAATTAAAATTTATATCTACTCGTATATTTGTAAGAAAATCGAAGTATGGCTTTTATGTGTTAAAAGAAAATAACAAAGTATATATTTTATAATATATATTTTTATAATGTATGGTTGAATTTTTAAAAAATAATAATAATAAGTATATTTATGCATGTAGGTATGAGTTAGAAATAAGTAAATTGTAATATTTATGTGTTGGTAAGTTTTTTATGGTATTTTCCGTAAACGTTATGTTTTTACATGAAGCAGTTATTGGTGTTTAACAACAATCACGAAAACCATTTCTATCGTTTTTTATTTAATCAAAGTTTCTTATTTTTCAGCGTTTGATGATATATGGTTTCTCAATAAAAATATAATAAAATTTCATTATAAAATTTGTGAAATTATATTTTATAAAATTCTCCAGTAGCTCTCCGCTCATCTCTTCGTCAAATTTTTTATAATCCGCAATCGCTTGCTTCCACAAACTCTCTGTAATCGAATCATTAAACCAATCTGATCTAAACTTATATATGTATGATTTAAGGTGTAAAATAATATATTTAATATTTGATTGTTATTAAAAATTAAGAGTTGATTTGTTCCTAATTTTAATATATTAGTTAATATAAAATACAATATATATAAAACTTGATTCATGAAATAATGTTTTAATATGTTAGAAAAATATATGAATTAAAGAATTAATAAGTGTACGATAATATTTTTAAATATATTAAATAAAAACTTAAAATCGATCAAAATTATTAGTATTTATTTTTTCATTATCTTTGACTCATACTTTTTTTCTTAACATTTAATAATATATTAAACATTGAGATCATCTCCAATGTATTTTTCTATTTGTTCCTCTAAAATATAAGTGGACTTCTCTCCAATATATTTCTATTTTATATAAAAAAAAAGATTGTTATTTTTTCTCTATAATTGGAAGAAAAAAATAACAACATTTTTTCCTCTAAATTAGAAGATTTAAAATAAAAGTGGGCTGAAAATATTTTAAACCAAAAAAATAGTCTGAGATTTTTACATAAAATCAAAGTCGTAAAGATTCATTTTTACTTTTTCTTCTACTTTTTATTATAATAAAAAAGTTAGCTAACAAGATACTTATAATTTATTTTTCTATCTGTTTATTTTTTTGTTTTATTTATAATTTCAAATTCTTTAGAATTCATTCATATATGATATAAACTTTTCTTATTTAAAAATAAGATTTATTTAGTTTTAACTTAACCAATCAAAATATTTCATTCATTTTAGGAAATTTGTCATGTCATATTTATGAGGTGGAATTGTTTTACACTAACTTTTGCTAAGGTGATGACATATCAGATTTTTTTCATTAAACATGCTTCTCAAATAATAGTTAAGATATTTTATATTGTTAACTAAATAATTTTTTTTCTAAAACTATTCTATATTTACCTATGTATATTTGAAATCTTCCATATATTTTTGAATTGTTTCAAACTAATTAAATTCAACTTATCAGAGTTCATTTTCCCTATAAATATTTTCTTTGTCTTAGCTATTTCATACATTCTCTAAAACAAAGCAATCTAAATACCTTTCAAAACAAATTGGAGAGTCTGTGTCAAAATTCTACATTCATTAAAGCAATATACCGCACAATTTGGTTGATCATTGGAACTGATTCTTGCTGATGAAACTGTAAACAAAACTTTATTCATAAAGAATAATATCTTAATTCCTTAGTTTTTGCACAATGTAAATCTACTTACACTAACAACACTATAATATATCTTTCAGGGTACTATGATACATGCCGCTGTTAAAAAAAACTATGTTCAGCGTGTTGAGCGTTTGATTCCTGTTGGAGAATAGAAAGTGGTTGAAAACTTTTCATTAACCACCGCATATGGCCAGTATCGACCAACAAGCCATAGTTACAAAATGTCTTTTACAGATAACATATCTATCAGTAAGTGTACTATGAAGAAAACCGGAGATTACATCAAACTCGTAGATTTTGATACCATCTTGGGTGGTACACTTAATCATAGTTTCTTGGTTGGTGAGTATTCCTAACTATATATTGATTCTAATATACTAAATATTATTACGTTTTTGCAAAGTTGAGTCATAATAGGATTTTAATATATTTCAGATATAATTGGCCAAGTTATTGATGTCAAAAACCTCGAAAGTGTGCAAATGAATAGAAAAGAGAGAAAAAAGATTGCCTTTGAGCTCAGAGATACAAAGTAATATATTTCTCGTTAAATATTAAGTCTACAAAGTCTATATATATATATATATATATATATAAGTTTTTTAACATTTTGAAATGTTTTAACTATGCAGTTATGAACGTCTGCCATGTTGTTTGTGGCAAAGATATGCTGAACAACTTTTTAACAGTTGCTAAGAATCCAATGGTGAAACAGTGATATGTCTAATAAGATTTGCTAAAATTGGATCCTATAGAGATATGAAGAGAAGACTTTTATGGCTTACCTTAAATTTATATACGGGAACCTTTGTCTACCATGTCTTTGCTGTAATATTTTCTCTTTTCAGGAAAGCTTCAGATCACAAATGCCTTTGATACAACAAAATTAATGATCAATCCTGCCATACCTAAGGTGGAAGAATTTCAGAAGAAGTAAATCATTATGAGATTTGGTATTAAAGTATTTACTGAACATATTCTAGATATTTAAACTCTTAATAAACCTGATGTATTATTTATTTATTTGGACTAAATACTTTGAATATCCAAGCTGTCAGATGATGGTCTCGCTCTCACTATTGAAGAACCTAAAGATGAAGAATCTGAATTGGTTAAGAAAAAAGAATATTGTGCCAATTTGCCACAAAAGACCATAGAAGAGTTACTGACTTCCGTAGAGGTACATGTTTCACACACAAACTACTTTATTT